ATCGATGATGATCGTGCCAAACGAATCCTTGAATCAAAGATTCACTGTGGTCCATTGAAACGAATAGATCGATAAATGATTGTGGCCTGAAAAAAAAAACAAGTAAAACATGGATGGATGGAGCCCTTTTATGATCATGATTGTGGGTCATGGTGGCCATCAAATTCGATTCGAAAAATAGGCGACAAACAAATATTGAAGACAATTACATTCAATGTTCAGTGTTAAGCCTTTGTACAAATGAACACGACACTTGGGCCATAAAAAAAATTGTTGTTATAACTGTTGTTGTTATGAGGTTAAGGTGAGACTTGAATTTTTTTTTATATTTTATGAACTCAAACCAAAAAAAAAAAAAACAACTAGCAACAGGTATTATCTGGGACAAGAATGTCAAACATGGACAGATGTGGAATAATTAGATCGGTCAAAAAAATTTACATTCGGCAAAAAAAAACCACAAGATCCAAAACAACTAACAACATTGCGTTCTAATTGCTGGACACACACACACAAACACAAACACAATCATAAAATTAGATATGAAACTTTCTGGATATTCAAGAACAAACGATTGCACATTATCAATCATATGCATAATAATGGTCAACCTAACCTACATGGTGATTATATTTGGAAAAAAAAAAAAATATGTATATTTTACAATGCCAATTGTGGTCAAAAAAAAAAAAAAAAAATTCATCAATTTGCATTAAGTGATCATTCAACATTAGATATTTCTATTATTCGTTTTTTTGAAACCAGATTATCATCATTAACATTCCTTTATTATTCTTATGGATTGGTTCAATGATTTTAATCTTTTGGGTGCTCAAAACTGATTATGAAACGAATCTTGTTTATCGTCAGTCATCATAATAATTTCTTCGATTGTTTTTTTTTCATGAAGATAAACATTAGATCGTGATCACATTATATGGCTAAGCAATCACATTTTTGCAAGAGATAATTGGACGATAAGCAATAGATTAATTGTCAATTAATTTTGTCTAATAAGCATCCATTTTTTTAGATTGTTTGTTCAACTAAATAAAAATCTACTCTACAATCGGATTGAATTTAATTCAACAGAGACAATCGTGAAGCACGACATCCATATCCATATATAATAATAATAATAAATCCGTTTTTTATTTGTCCGCCCATGCACCTAAGTCAATTTATTGGTGCTGCATATACAGAAAAAAAAAAAAAATAACGATTGTTGGGTGTTCAGTTCAGTGAATGGTCCATTCATTTTACAAGTGAATCGACAAAAAATTTTATACATCCTTTATGGGCAATTTTTTTCCTATTTTTTTTTTTTTTGGACACCGAAATAAACAACAACAACCTGTCCAACACACATCAGACAATCAATTAGAATGGCTAATTACAAATTACCTAGCTGAGTTATTTTTTTTTTGGTTCAGTGGCTAGGCCAGTACAATGAAAAAAAAAATTTTTTTTGGCTACCGTTATTCCGAAACGGTGGTTCAAATATACCCGGACAAATAAGGCAATAATTAAAAGACAATTAACAGAAAATATGAGTAAAACAAAATATGAATTCTATTCTGAATGTATCAAAAAAAAGCAATCCATTTAAGTCAAATTAATTTGCCATTTTTTTCACTGAGATTCATATATAATAATAAAACATGTTTATGAATGGATGATAATTATAAACGATTAGGACAAGAATTGATCGATTCATCATATCGTTATTATTGGCCAATTCAAACTCGATGATTATTATTGTAGTGAATTTTGTTTCAAAAAAAAAAATTACTGTTAGACCGCCAAACAATTCTAGATGAATCGACGCATCGATTAATCAATCGGGTCATCAAGAAAGATAGACCGAAGATAGGATGAGGATGACCATCACGAAACAAGACCCTTTTTTTAAGTGATAATTTTTTTGGGGAAGGGGGATACCATTGGCCATTTGTTTCAATGTCAATGAAGATTGAAAAACAAATTGTCTGACTTTGATGCCACCCTGATTTTAATTGATCTGGGCATCTGAAGAAAACAATCTGTTGAACGCTGGTAGCCATTTGCAAAATCAACTATTACCAATCATTCTATGGCTGCCTGTGGCGAGCGAACACGAGTCAAAGCAATTAACATCAAACAAAAAAAAATTTCGGCTCATAGTTGTTGTTGTTGTTGTTGTTGTCGTATTTGACCAATTTCATCTACGTATACGAATTGTGGATAATTAATTTCCATCATTCTTGTATACAGATTCAAGCTGTCAACTTTTGTCAAATGTTTAAATGTTTGATACGAATCAGAATTAAATAAAAAATAAAACAAAACAAAACAAAACAAAAATAAATAGATTGTCTATATATATCTTTTCTTTAAGAAAAACGATCATACTATCTCTTTACATAAGTCACAATTTGGCCACATTATGTTTGCCAACGATAATCATAGTCACGCGGTGAAAGGAGAGAGAGAGAGAAAAAAGAGAATAATAAAGCAATGGCTCCATACAAACAAAACGATTTGACCATTGAGTATAATTAGCATTCTTCAGCTTAAAACGAAAAAAAAACACGGGCAATGGCATGCATCAACTTATGTGTGTGTGTGTGTTGTAAATCGAGTATACAAGAATGATGGTTACAGGTCTAATTTCTACTTGTTCATCAGTTTTTTTTTCGGTCGTTTTTTTTTGTTTCGTGATGCCTCGGGTAATTTTTTTCTTTTTGCTTTCTTGTCTATAGACACAGTTTGATTCAAACAATAACAAACAGACAACAGGTTAATGTTCATTGTGTTTGACTGTAAAACAATCTCTCGTAGAAGAAGAACCATTTCATTTGGATAGACATTGATGAATAGCCACTGTTGCTGTTGTTGCTGCTGCTGCTGCTAAGTACTGATAATTCGACTTTTTTGTGTGTTCATTCGGTTAATCAACCCGATCATTATATTTTTAGAGTACAGCAGACAATTATCTAAAATTCCAAAAAATCAATGAAATTCTTTTGAATGTCATTGAATTATAAAACAAAACAAAAAAATTTTGCCAATGAGTAACGGAAATTGTACCCAGGATGTTATATGATATGGAACGTGATTGGTGATAATAATGAGAACAATACCGGCAAAACATTGATTCAAAATTGGACATCGCCCACACATTGATCACAACTAACCATCATTGATGATCATCATTGTAAACAGTAAATAAATAAATGATTTTGCGTGACTAAGATTGTCAGCCACATGCAGGAAATATTGAATGTTTGTTTCCATTTGTTCGTGCAATTCATACAAGAGAATTACATATTTATATATCACAATGATGATGATAGCAAATCATCATCTTAGATGGGAAAAAAAATGATCACAAAAAAAAATCCATCCATTTAATCGCTATATATTCATTATGTCTGAAATAGGAAATGGATAAATGTAATTAAATGGAAAATGAAAAAAATCCATTTCGATTCTATGTATTCTATGTTTCAATGTGAATGGTGGTCATTTTATTTGTCAAAATTTGACAAATATTGATCAGATACAAATAAATAATATACATGCCAAGGTAAATGTGTGTGTGTGTATGTGTCTGCAATATTCAAAATTAACTACTTATGAATAAGAAAACGTCTTAATTAGTTATATATATTGTATATATCTAAAAGTCCAATCAAATCTATTGCCTGTCGAATGATGCCTGAAAGGCATATTCTTACACTATTCGTACGTAATCATGATGATATAGCGACAACAACAACGTCGATGGCAATGGTTAATAGCCATTCTATAGCCAGTTTGTCAATTTTATTTTGATAATATCTATGCTCTATATGGCTATAATATCTTGGAACGGTCATTACGATCGTTGATATGGACAAAGTTGTCAAACAAGCTTAAAATTATTGCCACTCAATTTATGTTCAATGATATGGGCAAAAAAAATAAAAAAATCTTGGAATCATAACATTTATCTACTAAAACTCTTGCCTTTAAAACTTGTAGACAACTGATGATGATGGTTAGTGTATATTCATAATCATTTTAGCTAACATTTAAACAAGAAAACCAATAATTTGCTTCGAATGTTGGCCACATGATGAGATTTTTTTTTGCCAAGTCTTTATATGTTTCGATCCACGCCATCGATAACAAGTTGAAGAAGAAGAAGAAGAAAAAGAATTGGAAATCGAATATCTCTGTATATTTGTATATACGACCACCATGATACAACAACAACAACAACAAAAATTATTCATTGAATGAACATTGATTTTCATCATCATATATATGTATAATTAATGTTTGGTAATGATAAATAGTCAAAAACAAAAAATATGTAAATATTCAGCTTATGATTATTAGAGTAAAAAAAAACAAAACAAAAACAATCAACCCCATAATGAATGACAATTAATAATGACATATATATATATAAGTTCATAATAATCATGTCATCATTTTGACCACAATCATCATTGACAGCTAAAGGTTTGATTTTATGCACATCATAAATCATTCATCGGCTATATATATGGCGCCGATACTCACTTGTCAAAAAAACAAACAAACAAAAACGGTCCACTGCTGTTTTAAATCACACAAACAAACACACCTACACCACACGCATATGTGTGTGGTCCATTTTGATTTGAATAAAAAAATCCTTTCTAAAGAACATTTTAATTTTCTTATTATTGATCTTAAAGTCAAATAATATATTTAAAAAAAAATTGTCAAACGGTGAACATCGAGATTACTAGATTAAACTACCTCGAAAATTTAAAATGTTATTACAAAACTATTCACAATTCATTTTGATTGAAGAATTAATTTATGATGATGAAAACCGATACACTGGCGCCATCCAGTGTTTTGAGATTAAAATTTAAGAAAAAAAATTATTTTTAAACAGTAAAAATTTAAAATTTTATTATTATTTCATTTGAGCAGCTTTACAAAATGATAAACATTCTAATAATAATAATAATAATAATGGATTCAATATGACAACTAAAATGATTTGACTAATATATCAATAACAATATATCGACAGAAAAGGAACAGCTAAGATTAAGATTAGACCATATAATAGAAAATAATTTTGAGCAAAAAAAAAATGTATCACAAATGGTCATTTGTTCTAAAGCCATTGACAACATGCTTATTTGAGTGGACTAAAAATAATAACCAGAACAGATTCAAAAATTGTATACACATCGGTGTGTCATTGGACGGATCTAAAAAAAAAAATCTCCTTTCTACGATGATGATTGCAACAATTTCTGAATGAAACGTTGACCAAAAAATGATTCCAAATCGAAAGGGACAAAATTCTCTGCAAGTAAAAACAAAGTCAGTTTATTCATAATGGATAAACAACAATGGCCAACTTACTTGGAATCGATGACGAAGTTGAACTATTTATATGTTTGATTTTGACAAAAGTGGTGTTGGCAGTATCCACCATCTTGCTGCCATTTACCTGATTATTATCACCAACATTCGTGGGCTTATTGTGCAAATATTCCAATTCTCGTTGGATACGACGCCAGCCTATTGAAAAAAAAACAAATGTTTCGTTTACTAATTACTGTTCAATGTTGAATAGAGTGAATGTTAGCAACTTACTATCATTGATATAACGGATCATGTCCTCATGTTGAACTGATATTTCTTCGTTTTGTTGATCCTGATGAGTTGCCCGATATAGTTTATTGTTTTGAGGAGTGAGAGCACATTGTTTCAATTGTAAGGCTGGTTTGCTATTATGAAACAGATAAATTTAAAGATAAACAAAACAAAGGAATCATCATCACTCACCAGATTTCATTAAGTTCGATCGAATTTGGCCTGTTTACACTGATTGGACCATCAAATTTATCTAATGTTGGAGCTAATTTAAAAAAAAAATTAATTAATATTAACAAGTGGCAAATTTATTATCCAAATAGAAAAACGAACCACGACGAACTTGAGTCAAAAGTTTATTGCTGCGATGTTCTTTGGCAACAGCATACATATTATCGCTACTAAAAAAACGTCCAATGGCCAACTCTTGAAAATAATAATGTCAGGTTAAAAAAAAACACGTTGATTTTTTTGGATATTCGTTGTGGTTGAACAAATCGATCACGATAAATATTGTGGTCGTGTTGATGGGAAAATCGGTTTGAATGTGATGTGCGTTTGATGAATTAATTCAATTCTACTACAATCATCAAGTTATATAAAAGGCAGCGAATGGTAGCGGCACTATATGATCATAAATTCAACATTTAATCAATGGTAAATATATGTCCTTCTATCAGTGACTTTCAGCAATGACGATCACAGTTTAGCAAATATATATTTTTGCATACATGCACATGTCATGCTGTTTCGATCTAGTTACTTTTTTTTCTTACCATGAATGCATTGACCGATGGCCAAACATACACAAACATTCAAGTCCTGTTCATAAATATTGGGGCTGAAACAAATGAAATCAAACAAAATCTTTGAAGCTTTGAAGTCATAGTTCATAACTCATTTTGATCATAAGTTCGATATATTTATATGAGTGCAGAACAAAAATTCAGTAATCAGGGTATGAATATTGCTTATACTGACAATAGATGACATCACCATCTGCCATGAGTTTTGTATCATCAACGTATATATTTCATATATGAACTGAACGTTATTCTTCATTTGGAGCCACAGTTTTTAGCGGCAAAAAAAAAAATTTTGTGTATAGAATAGAATTCAACAATGACAAAAGCAAGCATAACATTACCAGAACGTGATGTCATTTATAAAAATGACCAATTTCTCATTAAACAACATGACTGCAATCTCCAGTATTTTCCATATTATCGAGCCCGTCTTAATCAAATGAAACGGCCACTGATTTTAGCAGCAAAAAACCGTTGGCCCGGTATTGCCATTTATACGCTCAATGATTTGGCTGATTCAAAAGCTGAAGCTGACAAATTTTCTCAAGACAGTTCTGAAGAGTTACTTGAACAGGATAGCCATCATGATAAATTATTCGGTAAAGATATCGTCGTATGTGGTATACTTTTGAAACGAATGTCCATGCAACCGAACATTCTAAAAGAATTGGATGACGAACGAAAACTTATTGAACCATTGGAAGATAGTCGAAAAAACTTTTGCTCACCAAATGATACTTTGTTCCTCCAAGATGGTGATGAATCAATTGAATTGAAGGGAGATGATCTGCCCATTAATCAACTATGTACTGGCATATGTTTGGCCACTAAAGGTCAGATTAATCCGAACGGTTCTGGTTTCATTGTGGAAGATTATTGTTTTGCCTTGATTCAAAATTCCGTCGATCGTCCAATAAAAGCTAAAGATTATTATATGCTGATCGTTTCTGGATTGAACTTGACAGGCGATGGTTACGCCAACAACCAAGAACTCTCGCAATCATTGAATCTACTTTTTGATTTGGCTACTGGTCACTCGGATTTTATTCTGGATAAAACGATTGTCAATCTCATACTTGCGGGCAACAGTATTAAACTTGATGTTGATGGTTCAAAATCTGGGGATATTGATTCAATCGAAGCGCTCAAAATGTTGGATAAATTTTTAGCCAATGTTGGCCAATATATGTTTGTAGATGTTATGCCCGGTAGTTTGGATCTAAGCAATGGCCTTTATCCACAACAACCCTTGCATCCTTGTCTTTTTCCACAAACTTTTCGATTATCAACTATACGTTCAGTGACCAATCCACATCGAGCAACATATTTCGATGTAGATTTTCTTGGAACTTCAGGCGAGAATATCGATTCGATTCGTTCGTGTACGATGTGGAATGAGCCGATAGAAATTATGCGCAATTTGCTACAATGGGGCCATTTAGCACCCTCGTGTCCTGATCTATTGCATTCATATCCATTCTCTCAACACGATCCAATGGTCATCAATCAATATCCTGATGTTTTGTTTGCCGGCAATCAGCCAGAATTTAGTTGTGCTACATTTGATGCACCAATATCAGAATGTACTGGTGATTTAAATGCTAAAACTAAAACTATTCGATTAATTTCAGTGCCGTCATTCGTAGAAAAACGAATTGGCGTTTTGGTAAATCTACGAACATTGGAATGTGAAATGTTGGCATTTAATTAAAGCATAAAATAAAAATGCATTTTAAATCTTTCACATTTTTTGCACTAGAATGGCTGAAGCTCCTCCACCTCCGTTACAGATAGCGGCCATACCATATTGGCCTGAGCGTAAATGTAAAGCCAATTTGTTTACGATCCTTGAACCGGACATTCCAAGTGGATGTCCGATGCTGACGGCACCACCATGGATATTCACTAGGGCTGGATCTATTTTGAGCATCCGCATATTGGCCAATACAACCACACTGAATGCTTCATTAATTTCCCACATGGCAATATCCTCAATTTTTAGGCCAGTACGTTGCAAAATTTTTGGAACTGCATAAGCTGGAGCCACCGGAAAGTCAACTGGATCAACGGATGCATCAGCAAAGGCAACGATTCTTGCCAATGGAGTTAAGCCATGTTGTTTGACAGCTTTTCCTGATGCTATAACGGCAGCGGATGCACCATCGTTCACTATATCATCATTGATATTAATTCGTTAATATTCTTGAATTAGGTTCAACCATAATTACTTACATGTACTGGCATTTCCAGCCGTAACGGTACCATCTTCTTTCTGAAATACAGTAGCCAATCGAGCAAACTTGTTAAAATCTACCCGATTATATTCTTCATCATCAGTCACTTGCGATGCTTGCTGCTTTTTTGTAGCCGGTATTTCGACCGGTGTGATTTCCATCGATGAGACAAGTTTGGCTGAATCTGCAGCTTTTCGATAGCTATTTATAGCAAAATCATCTTGTTCTTGGCGTGTAATTTGAAATTTTTTGGCCGTGCGTTCTGCACACACACCCATGTGGAATTTATTGTATACATCGGTGAGACCATCATAGACGATACCATCGATTAATTTGGCCCCGCCGTACGGTACTTCACCACGTGGTAAATAAAAAGGCACATTCGACATGCTTTCAATGCCACCAGCCACAGCAACATCCAAATGTCCACATTGGATTGCCTGTGCCAGAATCATATATGTTTTCATTCCCGAAGCGCATACTTTGTTCACAGTGGTCGTCGGTGTTGTAATCGGCAAACCAGCACCAAGACTACATTGTCGAGCTGGATCCTGACCAACCATAGCTTGCATTACATTGCCGATTTGTACCTCTTCGAACACTAACACACAAACAAACATTAATATCATCAATTGAGTGATTAATTGATCATTTGGCTTACTTTCTTTGTTGAGAGAAGATTTCTCGACGGCCGATTTGACGGCGATCGTGCCAAGTTGTGGAGCCGTAAATTGAGCCAATTGGCTACGAAATGAACCGATTGGTGTTCGTGTCGCTGATACGATATAAGCTTGACGTTCCTCTTGATTTCCAGGCATTGTTGACATGGACAATGTTTGCCATTTTGGACAAAATTTTCTCCCGGACAGGAGTCGAATGCTTTTATGACCAATCATTGCAATAAGATGATGGAAAATACTCGACGACCTTGATGATCAAATCAGTCGCAATCAACATTGAAGTTGATAGCTATTCCAACTTATATTTTAATTCAGCCAATCAATTGAATGCACCATTCATAAATACTGGAATAAAAGATGTTCATTAATAATAAAGCTAAAATTTTTAATAAATTATCATTTCTAATTATTCCATTCAATGACGTATACATAGGAAAAAATGTAAGACTTGATTATAAGACTTATATAATGTGAAATCACATAAACATTAGCTATATCACACGACGAGCGCTACCAATGATCAATCGTATAATGATGAACAGAACCATGGTAAGAATGATTGGTCCTAAAGCCAAATGCAAAACGATACTAGGCATTCGCTCAATGTTTGGCCCGATAATGAAAGGCGCGAATAACATAGGTAAACCTAAAGCCGTATAATATATTGAATTGTGTCGATCATCCAGCGTAGCAAAAGAAGCAGCAAAACCAAACAATGCTGGATTAATGGCTGATTGAGCATAACCGATGAGAACAGAATCGATTATCAATGCCCACATTGCCATGTGTAGATAGTCTTGAATCAGATAGAGACCGATAAATCCAAATGCTGCCAATGAGAGATGACCATACAGCAGTAGTGAAATGGACAAAAACCGTGTCAATACAACGTTAGCCAAACGTCCCAATGTATAAGCGGCAGATCCAATCGATGCAAGATCCGCAGCATTTTCTGGTGAAACTTCACGTTGTTGATAATAAGTATTTTGAAAGCTACTGAAACCGATCTCAGTGAGATTATATGCAGCGAATATAGCCGTTATGAGAATATGATAACATAAACGTTTGCACGAATGACGAGGGTCATCAAGCAATTTTTTCGGTTGTGATGATCCACCCCATCCGCCGTTGGCTATGTCAGATGACGTGTTATTGTTCCGATATCGATACAGAAAAAATAAAACGAACATGCTGGCTCCGACTGCGATGCCAAAAAAAAGTTGACATTAATAATAGATTAAAAATATTGAGTGAGAAAACTTACTTGAAAATTCAAGAGAACCAGAAATATAATACGGAATGCTAAGTTCATTTCGTCTAGTATCTGGTCCAAATATCGTTTGATTTGTTGAGTTTGCGTTGCCATGGATAAATGGCTTAACCATAATAGGAGAGAATATGGAACCAAGGCCATACATGAATTGACCAGCCTGTAGAATGGACGAAAGACGTTTTCCTTGCCACATTTCCATTAACCATGTTGTGCAGACAGCATTGAATGTTCCAAGGCCAAAACCGCTACCATATGCGGCCAGATAAAATAATGCTATGCTTGGCATTCGAGGTATTAATGAATGGAATATCGAGGCCAACATCATAAGAATGGAAAAGGTGAATTGACGATTTAAATACATTCTTGTAATTTCGAATTTATACAAACTGGTAACTATAGTAGATAGAAAATTAAAATTAAAAATAAAAATACTCATGGTGAATCCACTTACAGAATGAACCAGTTATACAACCACCACAGAAAAATGTAAAAAATAGTGATACTGATCCTAGCCCATCGTTGATCGTGGAATCGTCACCATCATTGTTGCTGAATATGACGGACAGATCGATCAATGTAGGCCCGTAAATAGCTGACGAGAGTCCCTGATAAAATGATAAGAATAAAATATGGATCAAAAAATGAATCACTACAAAAATTAGAAAATAACATACGAATGCAATTTGAGCGATGAATAAAAGAATGGTATAAACGACACGCATCTTACTACTGTTCATTATGAATTGTTGTTCCATTGAAGATTTAGCAATGGATAACGATCGATTGAATTAGATTTACGATATGCTGTAATCAAGCTTATCTTTTGTTCTTTACAATAAATCGATCTAATTAACAGTCTCACACCATTGAAAGCCAAAAATTGGATGCGCTTTGATGAAGATGTTATGTTGTATAGGAATTATGGTGAATGATAGCTTTTCATTAAACATAACTTGTTGCGCTGGCATTAATCACTTTTATTTTATTTTATGTGATAATAATATAATTATTATATACAAAATAATGATGCATCACAGTGATAGTATGTATCATATATTCGATTGGCCGGTTTCACATTACAATAATGATTAGCGTTTAATGATGCTATCCGCAGAAACATCGATCTGATATATACACAAAATAAAATTATTTTAATAGATGATTGTTTATGACTGCAGCTGTTTTGTATATATAAATAAATGGCCAAACCATATGGCAAAATAATGTTTGAAAGAAGTTCATATTCAAAGAAAACGTTATGTTATAATATAATTATGTTATTATTAACGCAGGCTATGGTTGATTAATTCATCAGATTTTAAATTGAATTCTAATGAAAAGTTGTATAACTGAATCAAGGACACATTGATTCACTTGACATTGGTATCCATAATGGACAATGTAATATCGATCCATCATGAATTATCATGTGAAAGTTTAGAAATAATTTCCGGTAATTACATTGGCTATTGAAATAATGGAAAAAAAACAAAAAATAATTGAGTTGAATAATTTGAATGGATCGATGTATGGAAAATGTGTTCGTTATTATTATACAAAATGTTTCTTTCCAAGTAAGGACAATTTTTACTCATTATCCAATTATAATAATAATAATAATGAGCATTTATGGCACACAATTTGAATCGATCGTATCTGCGAAAACAATTCGATATACAAAAAGAAAAAAAAATCAATAAACAAAAAGGGTAAAAGTGAATATGGTGAATTTGTTCATTGGAAATGCAATAAGAATAGTAAGAGAAAAGTAATCAATGTTAGTCACAATGGAAACCATCATCATTTGATCATCATCATCATCATCATCATTAATTTAAGTAGCATATAGGAATAGACAAAATTTTTTTTTTGTTTGTTGTGTCGAATTATAAAGCAGTACATAACATAATGATTTTGTACTATAGTTTTTCAAAACTGTGAATACTAAGAATTTATCAAAATTCTAAATTACTTGCTTGTTGATTTGTTGGTTGATTCACTTGGTATATTTTCATTGGTATATATCTAATCTAACATAACCGGTGACAAACTATAGTCGTGTTTATAACTTTGTAAAATAGCCTGAAAAGACGATCATCATCATCATGTTTATTAAAATTGGATCGGGTAGTTATTTTCAACAATTCTGTAATCGATTCATAAGAATTCATATGGACAATAATCAACGTACACGACGATATATAAAATGTATTATAATTTTAATTGGAATGTTTACCATAGAAATGTTTATTTCGTACTTGTTCAATGTGTCTAAAGAGACACAAATTATTTTGTTCAATATAACATACATAGCCGGAATGGAGCCAGTTTTAAATCTATTTTTGGCTCTTTGTGGATTATGGATCGGCTATACATATCGTGTGATCTATTTGATTTATCCGGATAAAATATGGCCTATAATTCATAATATCTATATTCAACGATGTTCAAGATATTTTTTATGGCCATGGATGGGTCCACATCATTTTAAGATGGTCAAAGGAAGTAAAGGTCCAATTAATTGTGCACATTATGTGATTAATAAATCAAATCGTTTCGATCAATTATGGCAACATGGAATGATCATTGTTGATTTGGCTATCATCTATATCAACTTATCTGCCGTAGGTATCGTTGCTACATCATCTGTACGTTTTCATTTTGATGGGCCACTAAGCATTGTTAAATTGTTACGAATGTTATTGTTCTTTGTGAATTGCTGGAAGATATCGGCATTGGCTTACTTTATGTTCAATGTATTGATTATTGTTAACATATTGCTAGTACTGTTCACATATATAACATTCGTCAAATTCAATCAGATCAAATCAATGTTGGCCGATTGGTGCAAACGTTACCGTTATCAACATAGTCGAATATTATGGCGTTTTATGATCGAACACAGTCGAGTGTTTATTATTGTATGTCAAATGAATCGTATTTATTTACCAATATTAGTGGCCACAATTTTAGTTTCGATGCCATCTAGCATCTATCTGATTGGAACATTATTTATAAAATCACAAGATCGACCGTTTCTACAGAAGTTAATTATCTTTTTCATGATACTACAACAATGGATTGGTCTTTTTGGTTGTCATGTAATCTGTGCATTTTATACGAAAAAAATACATCAATCAGGTCCACCGGATCTACTTAGAGCCAATCCTCGTATCAAGTTTCATTCATTACCGTTACAGCTGAAAGTGAATCATTATATTGAGAAAATTCCATACGAAAAATCGTTATGGATTGACCTATGCTAAATTTGGCCTTATTGACATGAGAACATTCATTAAGGTATGTATGATTGTTAATTATCTGTTTCATCTGAAAAAAAAATAAAATTTCACGTCATCATCATCATTTAGCATTCATGTTTATATATAAAATTTCTATCGCTTGGACTGAAGATAATACGACAAATGTGATCTCATTATTCATAACCAAATGATTCATTGTCATGCATCAACCATCGAAAGAGACAGGTTGTCTTGTCAAATTTTTTATTTTTTGCTTCTTGACCAATAGCTTCATGAGATGGACAGTAATCATTAGCTCCATGCTTCGATGATGATCCATTAATGTATTCACGAATTATTCTGGCCCCATTTCAAATGTAGAAAGCGAATTGGCCATTTTTCATTATGAATAATAATGAAATGCATAAAGAAACAAACAAACAAACAAATAAATCGACAATTTTACAGACAATGGATGTTCAATTCAAATTAGAATGGCCATCATAATAACTCTCTCTTCCTCTCTCTATGTGTTCACATGGTTGGACCGAAATCGATTCGACGCCAAGAGCGTCATATTTAAAATCGTTTTCTTTTTGTTCAGATTTTTTTTTTTTTACTAAATTTAAATGATCTAATGCTGTGCGATAATGATCTATGCTTTCACCTACAAGTTGGATCAATAATCAACGTCATGCCATTTTCCCTAGGTAATATTTATTTTTGGCTTCATACATTTTCAACTCTCTCTCTCTCGCTCCATTATTAAGACATATTGAAAGAAGGCGACAATTTTGTTCGCCTCATTCATTCATGAAGTTTTCATTGTTATTGATTCGTCCATTCATCATCATCATCATCATCATCATTATGATTCGTTTTGGATCAGATTTATTTGTTGACATATAGATCTAAACCAAACTCTACATAATATGTAAACGATCCGGTTGAAAGAGACATTAATATTTGTTTGACTACTCTCAAATAAATGAACGAACGAACGAACGAATGATGATGAATTGACATTTGTCAAGAAGCCGTGAAATGAACGAGTGCTGTCGAGCTCAACGATCATCATCATCATCATCATCATTATGAATGAAGATCAGGATAAATGTCAAAACAATGACATAATAGCCCCATAATATGGATCAACTCATAATGACAGCGACTATATCATCATCATCATCATCATTATTATTATAGTTCAGAATTATGAATACCGATTGTCACATACATTCAATGACACTGACACACGACCCGAACAATTCAACTACTCTCAATCAAAACAACTACAGCAGCATAACCAGAGCAAAGATACAATTTTCATGACATTGTTCACTATCTTTTTTTTCTCTCTCTCTCTTTCCCTCTCTTGCTTTCGGTCGGATGGCTCCACTCTCAAATCATTTTTTTTGAATCTGGCGCAAATAGGCAAACCTTGACAGTGGTTGATAATTCATTGTGGATCATCATCAAAGAGAAATCACCTGGTTTAAAGTAAAGTGTATGTATCTCCGGTGGACATTTACTCGTTATTATCATAGCTCAGTTATCGTTAGTTGTGTGATCTCATTATGTTAGTTCGTTCAAGTCGATCATCACAATCGTCGATAGTGACCAACAGAAGCACCTATTTGCAACTGATGGCCAAATCAATCTCGACCAAAATCATAATTCTCATCTTAGCCTTATCCATAGTCCAATCGATGGTCATGGTTAAGGGTTCAAGCATGGAGAAATCATCTTCTTCAATGGCCCAACTGAAACAAAATCCAACATCAGGTTCATCATCAACCAGTAGTCAAAGTCTAAATGGTAAGCCTAGTGGCAGCAGCATGAATTCTGTAAATACAATAAACAGTGGCTCATCATCATCGAGTACTGGAGCATTATTGAAGCCATTGATGTCAACATTCATGTCAACGACATCGGCCAATGGCGTACCGAATCCGTATCCATTTCGAACAATGATCGGCAATCTAATGTTTCGATTACGGCAGCATCGAACTCAGATGTTACTCATACCATCTGTAATACGGATAGTATACCAATACCGTCGACCTATTGTTGATGGCCTTTCAACTGCATACCAATCATTGGTTGCTGCAAGTCCAGCGTTATCTGCATCGGCTCCAGCAGCTGCCAGTTCAAGTGGAGCTCGTATCTCCGGATCATCGGACATGGACGACTCAGAGTCAAGCAACAGCAACGGTGGTCAAGAATCTGATCCAATGATGACTTCAGCATCGAATCCATATCTACAGATGTTGTTAGCATCAGCGAATTCACCAGATCAACAGGCTCATCGATTAATTCAAAACCAAGTGCCAAGCACAAATCATCATCAACATCAGCAGCATCCATTGGCAATGACACCGGGAGCCACATTATACAATCTTATGGCAGCAGCAGCCTACCAAGAAGCTTTACAACAAGCGGCAGCATATACAGCAGCAGCGGCACATCCGCGACCAGCATCACCATTGGTTACGACAGCAACTGAAGCATTCTCACCTGTAGCAGCGGCTGCCGCTGCTTTATATCATCCATCTTCCTATGCACCATTCGCATTTGTTTAATTCATATTTTGTCATAAATCCCTATTGTTTGGCTCGTATCTTTCAATCTCATCTGTGTAAGCATTCCTCAACATTAATAAAAACTACATACAAACACATAAACAAAGTGTTATTTATTTACCTGTTTACATTTATTTTTCCACATCATTCTCATCGATTGCAGTGATCGTCGTTGTTAATATGGATGTCGATTCTCGTGCCATGTTAGATTTTATTAATGAACGTCCTGTGATGATCGAATGTTTGTTGCTAGAACTAAGACGATGGCTTGATACTGATGATTTGATGGCAGTGTTTATAGATGAGTGGTGAGGTTGGGCGGTTGAAACTTGTAAGCTACCGCCACCAAATACATAAAATTGTATGCTCGGCTTTTTTGGGGTACCATCAATGATTTTGGTAGGGACTTCTTCTGAATTACCGTCAACATCAACTGGTGGAGGTGATGATTCTGAATTTATCGGATTTTCATCTACAGGATGTGCCGTACGCAAATGTTGCCTAAGTTGTGCATTTGTTTTGAATTGCCGTTCACATCCCTTACGAGTGCAAGGAAAATCTTTTCGCTGACAATGACGATGTAGTTGATGTGATGACAATTGATAACGAGAACGAAATCGACGATAACAACCTTGTTCTTGGCATTCGAATGGTTTCACAGATGAATGACATTGTACATGTTTTTTCAACACTGATTTATTGTTGGTTCGGAATGAACACTGGTCACAACTAAACGAAAAAAATTCATAATTGAAATAAAATACACTATAAATAGATGGTTACCTACCTGTACAAGAATCTTTTGTGTACATCGATAAGATGTTTATTGCGTATACGTGATGAATAGAATTGTTGAGAACATTCATCACATTTAAAGGGTTTAGTGAATCGATGAAATCGATTCACATGTGCCTCAAGACTATCCAAATTGGCAAATTCATCTGTACATCCAGGATATGTACAACATTTTGATTGATTATGGCGGTCACAATGCTTATCGTATAAAATAGGATCGAATGTTTTGTAAGGACAAACAGGACATTTTTTTACAGAATCCGCATGGAATGATTGCATATGCGATCGAAGAACAAATCGATTCATGACTACTAGATCACAATGAGGGCACCGATAAGTCTGATGATCATCATGTAAGTGTTGTTGGAGATCGAATTCTGATGCAAATGATTCGGAACATAAAGCACATATCGACAATTCTGAGATACAACCAGTTTTGTTGTTGCGTTCATTTTTATCATGCAGTTGAACATGACGGTTATATTTTTCTGTATCCTGTGTTACATAATCACATCGACCACAATTATATGAAGGTATTTTGTGCACGATGTAATTATGTAATGAGAATTCTCGTTCTGATTGAAAGCTATATGAACAATTTGTACATTCAAATATGTAAAGATTGGATAATTGTTTCAATTGCTGCTCATCATCGCTTTTATCTTCAAGGACAGTCAATTCGTTCGATGATATTTGTTGTTCAATTGCAGAAGTGGTGGAAATTTTCGGGGACGAATCAGCCGATTTTGAAGCTGAAGCTTCAAACAGAATCGGATATTGATTATTAATGTTCTTAGTATAATCATCATGATCATCGACAAGTGATGATGCGGTTGTTATTGGTGGTGGAGGTCCACCGATATTATAGGTATGGTCACGATCATCACAAAAATTATAATCAGAAGCTAATACTTGCAATGAAATGTTTTCATCCTTATTAGATTGATTTTCAACCGAATCCATTGTTTGCTGTGGAGTAGATTCGAGATGATCAAAAAATTGATCCAAATTCAATCCATCCGTATTGCTTGGCTCGACATTATTAGGTTTAGCGGTATTCTCAATAAAAACCTCTAGACCAATGTTATCATCAAGACCATGGATTAAATCATTCATTGAAGCAGTAGCGTCATCATCGAAAGCACCTTCTGTTTCGTTGTCAATTGCATCTAGTTGTTGGCTGGGTATTGCTGGATGTTTAGATTTTAATTCATATGAATCAAAGTTTAATAAAATTGGTGGATCATCCACTGGCTGTTCGGGTTGCTGATTTGAGGATGAGCAAATGGACGAAAAACTAAAATGGTTTTGCAAATCGTCTCTGTTCTCAAACATTCTTCGGCACGTAAAGCATGGATGCATTATGTAAGCGGACAAATGCTGCTGCTCAAAATGTTGGGACAATTTTGATCTCCAATCAGGATTGGTGATTGAAAACCTGAATGTACAAAACGGAAAAGAACATTGCCCTGATGTTATTATATCGCCATATTCGTATGTTTGGCTGTTGTCTTTAATTTCTATCACTTTGCAACTATCTATCGCCAATGTTAATCCGTATGGTTGAATGAGTTGCAGGAATTTCTCGCGGCGATGTTCGATCTGATGTCGAAGAAGCCCTGTTTCGGTAAGACTAACAAAACGACATTTTTTATCTACCGAGCATTTGAATCGACGTCGGTAACGACCAGATTTCGATTTTATCTGTTGTTTTCGGTCAGTAGGTGAATCTGTTGAAGATGCTGATTGCTGCGTCAAAACTGTTAATGAATCGGGAATCAAAGTTTCAGAAAGTCCATCATAAAATTTACATACATGTTTTCATATCAATTCCTAACATCCTAGACTTTGTTTTGTCTAGCCAACTATTGGTTAAATCCACCATTGAATATTTCATGGAGGAATCACTAACAAGACAAGATGATGCTGTTTGGGGATCATATCGTTTTCGATACAGCGTTTCCAATTGATCATCAATTTGACGTAAGCGATCCATTTGCCATTCAGTTTGTTGCTGTTGATCGGAATTGTTCAAATGACATTTACATTGTTTAAAATGTGAACGATATAATGATCGTTGTTGTTCCAATAATTTAATCACTTCATTAGCAAGGTCCAATTGACATCGATATTCAAATAGTCGATCGGCCAATGATAATGGCATGCCATCACATTGATTTTGAGGTAAAATTTGCTTTGATGATGATGCTTTAATCATCATATATCATATATGTTTATTTACATTTACAGGCAAATGAAATTTCTTCAAGAAAATAGATGAGAATAATATAATAACAAAAATAAAATAAAAAAAATGAGATTCGAAAACAAAATTTTTGACAGTACCGTCCACAAAGAACGATACCATTTGTATGCACGTGACGTGTCATTACGTTAAAGTAGTCACAATGATAATTTATAAGCAGAAAATGAGAAGCCAAGCACGTTGCAGCAAGCATAAAAGGCTCAGTACAATTGTCCTTCTCTTTGGATTCACATTTGATTTTAATTGACATTGAAAAATCGACTATTTGTTGGAACGATTTGCAACATGTCGGCTAATACTGAACGAACATTTATCATGTTGAAACCGGATGCTGTTCAACGCGGTATTGTTGGAGAGATTATACGACGTTTCGAAGCCAAAGGTTTCAAATTGGTTGCCATGAAATTCATGATGGCATCCGAAGATTTGCTTAAGAAACATTACGCCGATCTTGCTGCTCGTCCATTTTTTCCTGGTCTCATCAAATACATGCAAATGGGTCCAGTCGTACCAATGGTCTGGGAAGGATTGAATGCTGTCAAAACCGGTCGTGTTATGTTGGGAGAGACAAATCCTGCCGAATCGAAACCCGGTACCATTCGTGGTGATCTTTGCATTCAAACTGGCCGGTAAGTACATACTCTTAAATCTTTAATTGATTTAGTCACACAATTGATTGATGTATGGCAAAACAGAAACATCATCCATGGCAGTGATTCAGTGGAAACAGCCAAACGTGAAATCGATTTGTGGTTCCGACCGGAAGAATTGGTTGACTATAAACCTTCCCAATATGAATGGGTTTATGAAAACTAATTATCCTGATTTTGGAAGATCGTTTGATTTTTAATTATAATTTTCAAATAATTGATTTTTCATACAACAAATGAAATAAAAAACTTGCTTTTAAATTGACATTGACATTGTTTTTTAGATTCGATAAATTTTTTTCGATTTATATACTTTAACATCTTCGATTTGATATTCGACTCCTGATTCCGATTGTGTAGAACGACATAAGGCTAATGTCCATATGACATGTCGAACATTTTTATCACTTAAAATTCTAGATGCATTCCATAAATATTTAAGAAGGGCATTAATTCTTACAAATAACAATGGTCTATTATTGGCTGGATGATGATGATTGCCGATCGAATATAAATCTTTGGTTGTACAACCAAAATAACGATTAGAATGTAAGCCAGTCCAATGACATTCGAGATGGTTTTCATGACAATCATTCAGTATGATGGTCAAATCTAGGCAAAGTTCGCAGGTGAATTGATTACAATCGGGACAACGAAGTTGTTCAATTCTTTCATCAGTCGGTTCATTAATGGTGGAATGATATTCTTCCAATGAAGATTGATATCCACAGCTATGTCCATCGTGATTATCATTCTGGCAGATGACTACTGTGACGAATGAATGAAATCTATCAATCGAATCGAAGAATTGTTCACCTTTCTGAGTTTGGCCATAAAAGGTATAAAGATCGGATTCGAGACGAACACGACTACCAATGGGTAATTCTTCTATTTGTTGTATAGAATTGAACAATGGAATGTCTTTCTTTGCCGCTCTTTCTATGTTGAGTTGTTTTGTATGTCTCATTTCCAGATGCTTATTAATGATTTCTAAATCTTGGTCATCGATATCGAATAATTGACATGGATCAAGTGCCATAATTATTTCCGTTGTTTCTTTCAACGATTTAGGAGAAAGATTCATTCTTGAATCAACATTTTGATTAGAAGAGGTTTCATTTGATATATATGATAAGTTATCAATAAAATCATCAAATGAATCATCAAGTAATCCAACATCGAATGATTCAGATTTATTTTTTTCCGCTCTTGATTCATTTTGTTCATTAATTACCATGTTGTTGGAAGATTGATTTTCGCTAAACAATTCTGACTCATGTTCTGTTTCATGTTCTTTAAGGGTCTTTATATAGTCATGTCGTGGATCCAAAGATTCATCGAATGTATGATCTAAATCGGATCGATCCATCTCTAAAATCTGTGGCGGATTCTTTACATATTCTTCCATCTTTTGATGCATCTGTTTAGCTATATAAATCAAGAGTAATAGAATAATGAGATGTATTTGAAATAAAAATGATAATTACCGATTAGTGAATTAGGATGAGCACGACGAATACATTGGCCATAAGCAGAATTATCGTATAGAATGTATGAATAATGACTAGGATAAAATTCATCCGGTTTACGAACAACTTCATAGACAATTATCGTATCACCACATTTAAATTTAATCGCTTGATTTCGGTGTTTACCAAATATAAATAGGAAGATTAATTGCTTTTTGTAATAAAGACGACTAATCATACGATGTGAGAACGAATGGCAATCTTCATTCTGTTCCATGACGGTAGCAATACATTTGAAAGACATTGATAGATGGCAAGGATGTTCGGCCACTAATTCCGATGATGGAGTCCAACAACAAAGAGTAGTTCGTTTTTCGGAATCAAATACGTTTAACACGAGCAATGCTACATTCATCACATCACATTTTCGCTCTTTAGACAGTAATTTTATCAATGGTGTTTCCAATAAATTGAAAATCTGCCACTTATTTAATTCTTCCACTCGTTTAAGATCATAGGTTTCAATAGTGGGATTTTCTGCCACTGTGATCGGTCTGAATTGTTCCTCATCTGTAAATGATTCAAAGATCTATGGAGTGAAATTCAAGAAATTTATTAAAACTGAATCAAAACTAAAACAAATGTGACTTACCACAACGTTTCGAGGAACAGCTCGATGCATGAAATTACAATTTAATGTCAAACGATGAATGCGAATTATATCACCAGTTTTGTATGAAAAACCATCGTTCTCGTTGGTAATTGAAGGACTATCATCGGCGGTTACTGCTTCGATTGTTGTTGTGAGTCGAGAAGTAACAATGTTTATTGGCAAATTATGGTAAAAACGTAGTCGATCAGTCTCATCTTTGATGATCATGATACCATCTACAGTGTATGAAACAATTATGCCATAGATGGAAACCAACTTTTTAGAGGCTAATGGAAACAAACGCTGTACATCTTTTAATTTCATATATTCATAGCGAACACTTTGTTGTTGTCGGTCAACAATCGTATCATTCTTTGGATTTGTTATAATTGATGATGATGATAGTTTGAATTGATTACCGTATTTTTTACGCTTTGAATTATTATCTTCTTTAGCTGTCGATCCGACCAAAACAGATGATGATGATGGACATTCAGATATTGGTGATGATGATCGTTCGGATGATGGTGTTGAACATTTTGCCGGATATTCAGGCAAATTAGATTGTTCCAAACGATATTTTCGTTTTAACAATTTTGATTTCAACTCTGATTCTAAATGAGTTGACATTCTGTATCGAACGAGCAATCAAGATTGAATGAGGCAATCGATCAACAAATTCGATGAAAAATATAAAATAACACACACTGTGGACGATACGTATATTATGAATTGGACTGCTTGTTGCAAAATTCTTCGGGATTAATTTTGTTTTACCATAATAAAATTTGATTTCGGGCATGTCGAATCTTGCCCATTCCTGTGAAAATGATCAAAAAATAATGTCGGAAAATGTCTGCGAAATCAAACAAGAAACTGACCAATGTAATGATGGTCCATTTAATGATGGTGATGAAAAAATTGACTCCATCCAGTCTGCTCAACGGTTCCTCTTGGATCGACTTAGTTCATTAAAGTTTCAACCAAAAAATGTCACTGATGGTAATCATCAACCGACTGATTTGTGGACCCATCATCAATTACCTGAAATGGCTCGAAAAATTTTGCAACTTTTGTCACAAACGGTAAGCTGTGACCATTCGTTTGAAGATGATAGTGATGCTGATGAAGATGATTCTGAAGCATGGAAAAATGACAAGTTGGAAACATTGACTCAATTCGTCAGATCATTTCTCGATTTCAACAAAGATTCTTTTGCAATCAATCATAACCATTGGCCAGGCGAATATTCCCATAGTGATACATCTATGACTGATGGCGAAAATGAAGATGAAAATGAACGAATAAACACTCGGTCTACACGAAGACAACAACAACAGTCAACATCGAAACAGGCAACTAGTTCTAAGCCATCGCTCAAACAAAGAGCCAAAAATAAAAACGCTAAACAAACTTCTCCTAATTTAACGACAATGAACGAGAAAGCAATGGCTACCAAATTGAGCACGGATAAATTCCTCATTGATTGTAGCTCATCATTGATGTTAAAATTAAATTCATCACAATATGATCCAACATTTCCAGTAATGTATGGTCTGGCATTTAATTCTTTTAGCTATCCGGATAATGTTTTCGCCGTTTGTGGTCAATCATTGCTCATAGTGTATCGATGTTTATCAACGATCGAGCAACAATCGAATCATAATGGTTTACAACCGTTGTTCGCTCATACTGACAGTAATGATTCGTATTACTGTTGTTGCTGGTCACATGATTATCAACGTCCAGATCATCCGTATCTATGTGTTGGTGGTGAACGTGGCGTTATCCGTATCATTGACGTACGGCGACAATGTGAATCGAAGACTCTATATGGCCATGGTGCTGCCATCAATGATCTCAAGATTTGTCCTCGTGATCCATCATTATTGCTGTCCGCATCAAAAGATTCTGGTATTCGTCTATGGAATCTTGCTACGAATACATTGATTGCAATATTCGGTGGAGTACAAGGTCATCGTGATGAAGTGTTGGCCATCGATTTCCATAGGTCACGTTCTTTATTTGTTTCAGTATCAATCGATCATTCCATCAAAATATGGTCATTCCGTCATCATGAAGTTGCTCAAGCAATCGAAAAATCTCGTCATTTCATATCGGATCAAAATGCTCAACAATTTCCCACTGTTTCTCAACATTTTCCCAATTATTCTACCCGTGATGTACATCACAATTACATTGATTCCGTACAATGGTTTGGTGATCTATTGGTGACCAAATCTTGTGATGAAAAATTAATCATATGGAAACCGGGGGCAAGCGAAAATGAAACGCTTGATGATCTTGAACGACGAACATATTATTCAGATTCGGCAACCCATGGAACACTAGATTCTAGTGATGATTCGACTACATCAAATGTGGTAATTATTCGCCGATTTGATTTGGACCGTAATAATATGTGGTTCGTACGATTTTCGTTGGATCTAAATGAATTCATCTTAGCCATCGGTAATCTACAAGGACATTTATTTCTCTATGATCTTAAACATTTTAATCCCAGAGATTATCGCTTAGCATTTGAGGTGCCTGTACCGATTCCGACAATTGTTTGTTCACAGAAAAAGAATAATAACTCCTTACCACAACGTGCATACAGTCGTGTAATTCGTCAGACTGCATTCAATGAGGATGGTACCATATTGATTGTATTGGGTGAGAATAGTACCGTTACCCGTTATGATCTATTACGTGTTACTAAACCAATGGTTCGAGCTTATCTTGGTTCACTTCTTAATCAATGAAAAAAATGAATAATGAATTTTATTTTACATGAACAGAATCCTATATACTATTTGTATATTCAATCAATGTTTTTATGTGACTATATTAATAAATGAAAATTACAAATTGATCTGAGTTTGAGTTTGAGTTTGTGTTTGAGTTTTAGTTTGATTAGATTGTTGTGATGATTGATAGATTTGGCTCATCTTTTTTTTCTGATTAAACATAGATAGACGATTCCTTTTCTGTTGTTGTTGTTGTTTGTTATTATAGCTGTTTAATGTATAGAGTTGACATTCGTATCGTTTGACACAAGGTCCCCATGGATTTTGGAAACCTTTATGAAACCAGGTTGACATTCACAACCAACCTGACAAATGGATAAACATTCAGGAGGACCACTATGAAAATTGGAACAAGTGACCGGACATCTAGTCATGCATGGATTGAATGTGGAATGTTCAGGACATTCATCTATATGAATAATTTTAGTATTTTAGAATATGTTTTCATTATTTATCATCGTAATAATCGTAACACTTACCGACGATTGGAGCAGCCGATGTGATCATCGATTCGTTCATCGAAATGAATATGATTAAATGAATCGATATGAAAATCAAAGTGATAGCCAATGAATTTGAATTTATGATATTGCCAGACATTTTTTTTTTTTTTTTTTTTGATGTTTTATATGTTGCATATATCTTTTCGATTGGAACTTTTTAACGATGCTATATTTGCAAGGACTATGCCTTGGCCTTTGAAAAAAAATGTTGCCTTATTGATGTTGGTCAATGAACTTTAGCCACTTTTTGTTTTCGTAAATTTTTTTTTTTTTTTTTTGGGTTTTTACGTTCTTACGTTATATCTCGGTTAGTTGGCCAACAATCGATAATGATGATGGAAGATTTATATGTTGTATATGAAATTATGGTCGTTTAGAAACGAATGATGATGTTTATAAATTATGTATTGATGATGATGATGATTATATATTTTTATTATTAATTTCACTCATTAAACAGATGATAAATAATTCACCCTTGATTTGAAAGAATTAAATTACTAATATATATTTTTATATGATTAAAACAAAAAAATGCAAATGGTAAATTTTAAGCTGATTTCATGTTTGTCCGTTGTTTATATACAAGCTGCTGCTGCTGCTGATGCTGCTGCTGATGCTGATGATGATGATGATGATGATGATGGGTACTTGTTGCCATAATTTATTCAGCATAATCACATCATACTAATAATAATAAAGTTATGCTTATTATTATTTTATGATTTGAGTGACAATCTATCAACAAACGAACGATTGATTGATTGATTGATTGAATTTATGATTGATTTGATTAAATCAAAAAAAAAAAAAAAAAAAGATTTGATAAAAGGATGATATGGTAAATATTTACTAGTTAAATATTATTTCCGGTGTTCATTCTATATTTAACGATGATTTATGATGATGATGATGATGACAACAACGTTACATTTTTTTTTAGTTATGTCTTATTACCCTTTATCGTTATATCTGATCGTAAACAAAAATAATAAATGATGATTATTGGAAAATTTCCAAATTTTTCTACACCTCTGCATCCGGTGCGTTTTTTTTTTCTTCATCGATAAAGACCAAGTTCAAGTTCTTCATCGATCGTTTCAATCACGTATATCCGGCTTATCATTGTCAATCATTTTGTTTTGTTTGAAATTTTGATAGCCTTAACCTTTGAATGTCACTATGTAAAAGCTATATAACCGGAACATCAACGTGTTTGAAAACAATGATTATTTGACGATCAATCAATCAATCAATCAATGCGGCAACATATCATAAAATAAGTACATGATAAATAAGTGCAGCCTGTTCTTTGATTCGAATGATGGAATCTTAATTTTTCATCAATTTGATCGTTATTTGAATCGGATTCAAGTAAATCATTCGAGTAATCGATACGACTACATTTTTATTTTTCTATTCATTTCAATCTTTGTTTGTTAAATGTATTTCAATTTTTTTTTTTCTTAAACAGACAAACGGACAACACATTTACATTGACCCTAATGCATACATACAATCGAACGTGACCATTCACATTCGCGAATCGACATTTGATTCTTTTTTTTTTTTTTTTGTTTGCAATATTGATTATGCTGAGCTAGCAATTGAAATCGATGCGGTCAAATTGATTCTACTTTAATGGATAGTTTAGTCTTGTTCAATTACTGGTGATTTTTTTTTTTTGATTGTTTTGGATGCATTGAAATTCAATATTGGATCCCGAATTATTCTATTTCTTGCATACCAGATGGCGATGATAATTCTTATGATGATCAAAGTGAATAGAATATAAAATCCAAAAAAATATTGGCGAGTTTTTTTTTAATTATCATAAATGAATGAATGAATGAAATAGAAAAATTAGTGATGAGATTATATGATGTTCACATTATATTTGTCTGTTGTTTGATTTACTGATAATTGTGTTGTGCAAAAAATGTTGGTGTTTTTTATAAATGAATGAATAAATGAATGTGGAGCTATATATTTCGTCGTTTGATGATAATGAATTCATTTGTTACTGAGATTGGTAATCATTTATTGGATCAAACGTAATATCTCTAATGCATTTGGATTCTCTATTGATGACCGCATACTTGGGACCAGAATATTTTGTGAAGCACCAATTTTCTTTATTCGTCTGATCCGAGCCATGATATGGAATGGATCAGCCCGTATAATATCATATTTTGGATCTATTTTCACCGTATTAACATTCAGTTGTAAACGACTTTCTAACGGCGATTCCATAGATCTAAAATAACACTTCTCAAATGCCATAAATCAAAAGGACAATGTTCACAAATGGAGATGTTGGGAAACAACTGTTGAAATGATAACGGCATTGGAGAATCTACCACAAATGCTTCATTGATGATCTGTTCAGCCTGAAGAAATCTGGCACTAAGTATGGATGTCAAAAATCGATTCTCGGAGACATGTTTTATTTGATCAATTTGATGTTGAATATTAATCAATTCATGAACAACCTTCTCATGAATCTGTTGATCTAATTTCTTGATTTCTATCTCTGTCAATGACTGATCAGAGATTCCATTCTGACTTTTGATGTATGAGCCAAACATTACAGCTATGCTATGACGATGATCGATGTAAACACTACACCGGACACAAATGACACAATATTTAGATGAGCTTTGAAAAGGTGCACACTTTTTATACATCGTTTCTTTGACCAACTTGTTATATAACTTTTCACACGTATCCTTTTCGAATTTATAGTTGAAACCGCTGGTGATGTTATTTGGATTCAGCAACGACGATTTAATCACCTCACATGGTGGTTTGAGATGAATGTTAATTTGTGCATTTACATAGTCAGTAGCAACTCGATGTTTTGACCTTCTCCAAATTAACGGGAATACTGGTGAATTCAACTGTGACTTTATGAGGACGGGGGAAAATATAATGCTGATTACATTGATGCAGCAGAATATTTTAATGTGTTTATGATGCATATTCGGTTACGATGTTCACAATAGATGATTTGATTGATGAAAATTTATGTTTAATATTCACTATAACTGTTTATGATGTAATTTTCAGTTTTATTGTTTTGGGACGTAGTTTTATTCATACAATGGTAGATTTTATGATGGCGAATATCTGATTTGTCGATGACGATTACGTTGACTTCGTCGTGAACTAATCTGGTTAGTAATTGAAGTTGATGTTGATGAGTAAATTTGTGATACAGGTGTTGAATCTACATCAGAATTTCTTGCTATCATATTCTCTTCTAACTCTGATTGCTCATGCTGTATGTTTTGCTCTTCTTCATCAGATTCTTCTGGAACTAACACTCGATTATTTGTATTTGCCGATTTAAGATTTTCAATGTGAACAATTACTTCATGATTATTAACTGATATTCCATACACTACTGAAGAGTATCGTGTAATAATTTCAAATGGACCTTCATATCTAGGATCTAACTTTCTCCTATTCAATTCATCTGCAATCTTAGCAAAAACCCAATCACCTGGCTCAAACTGTCTATTAATTCTTCTTCGATCATAATATCTTTTGTTACGATTATGATCCTGACATGATCGTTCATATGCCATGCTTCTTGCCTCATCCAGATCCTCTCCTTCATAATATTCATCTGGATCATCACCTTTCAATAGAAAACTTGGAGCATACCGAGTCACGGTATGAATGGTTGAATTATATTCAACTAAAGTTTCCATGGCAAGTCTTGCCCAAGATCTGTTTGGCATTGATAGTCTTTTGCATCTCAATCTTTCAACCACAGTTTGAACAAATCTTTCAATCATACCATTACTTGATGGATGTGTAACAGGGATGTAAATAATTTGAGAGTATGATTTGCTAATAAGAATTCCCTAAAGCTAGAGGGAATTCAACGCAGGATACCGATCATAAACAATATAATGTGGATGTCCATCTTGAGAAATTTTATCATATAGTTGTCGGAAATCATTTACGTTTTGGGTTTTGATGTTATGCCCCAAACGTATCTAGAAAATGAATCGATTGCTACATGGAAATATCTTAACTGAGAGAATGCCTCTCTAAAACCACCAATAGTATCGATATGAATAAAACTAAATGGTTCTTACTGCCGGGCCAAGTTGATGAAGTAATCCCAACTTCCTTCTAGGTTTCTTAGCTTGTAAACAAATTTCACATTGTTGAATACAGTTTTGAATAAACTTGTTTTGATTGGAATTGTAATATTTTTGTGAGAAATGAAGAGCAGTTTGTTTTGACCAATATGTCCTTGTTCCTCATGATATTTCTAACAATTTCAATTGCTATATTATCTGGTAGATAATACCGCCTTCTATTACCCGCATATTTAACATAACACCCATTAAACAATACACACCCTGAAGGTATAGCCGGAATATTAGCATGAATCTCAGAAATCTCCTGAAGAGTTAACAAATTTACCTCAAAGTCAGGATTTCTGGATAAGAAATCTGGCTTCTACATTTTCACTCCCTGAACATATTCAATTTTGAAATTATATTGACTAAGCCTTAAAGCCCAATTCAAGATTCTCGTGTTGGGTTTTGAGATAGAGTTGATATACTTCAATGGCTTATGATCAGTTCCGAATTGTGAATTCTTTTCCATACAGATAGTGATGCCAGTAAGCAATTGACTCAACAATCCGCCAAGCATTCCTTTTCTGTCGCAGAATAATTAACTAAGGTAATAATTTTCGTGAGAAATATCCCACTGTACCCATATCTTGATCATCATCTAATTCAGTATCTTTTGTTTAAGGACAGCTCCGATACCAACATTAGAAGCATCTGTAATTAGAATTACAGCTTTTGATGGATCAAAAGATGTGTACATACAAGATCAGATGATAAACTTCAATTACTTTATTAAATGCTGTTTCAGCTAATGCTGTCCATTTGAAGGCCTGATCTTTTCTTCAACAATTGATATAATGGTGTTAACAATTCCGTTTTATTTGAATGAATCGTTGATAGAACCCAATTTTACCAAGAAACCTTCTAAGAGATTTAAGATCTTTAGTGGGAGGAAAATGATAAACAATTGCTTGTTTATTACTTTTAAGAGGTCTTATTGTATTGAACGATATTTGATGTCCTAAATAACAAACTTCTGTAAACCAAATTTACATTTAGAAAATTTTAAATGATATTATTATCCTTTAGGACTGCAAATAACCTTTTTAAATGTTCCATATGTTGATTATAATTTTCTGAAAACACGATTATATCATCAATATAATTATGTACGAAAATTCGTCAACCTGTTATGTTTCAGGATATTGTATACTATTCTTTGAAAATTGCCGGTGCATTCTTTAAACCAAATGGCATAACATTCCATTCAAAATGTTCAGTCATGGTAGAAAATGCAGTTTTGTAATTTGTCACTTTCCTCAATAGGAATATGATGAAAGCCAGAGGCAATATCAAAGGTAGAGAAATTGTTGAATTTAACATACGATCTTCAATATCCTGTATCAAAGGCATTGGATAACACTCTGTTATGGTAATATCATTCAATTTCCTATAATCTACACGAAAAGCTCGGTCTTTTTACCATCATCCTTTTTATCGACTAAAACCACCGGAAAAGAATAATTTGATTTAGATGGTCTGATCAATTCTTTCTCGAGTAACAGTTTAACCTGATCATCAACTCTTTTTTGATCTACTTGAGATATTCTGTACGGTCTTAAATTAATTGGTACTTCATTCACCAAGTTAATTCGGCAGGTGTCTGTGCGAATTGAACCAATTTCACCAGAATTCGTGAATACTGTTCTAAATTTCCTTATCACCTCTTTCAATGGACCTTTAATTTGGGAAAAGTCTTGTAACTCTATTACATTGGCAGAAGAAGTTGTTGGTTTAATTTTAATTGCTTGTATAGGGATTTCTTCATTTGCCACAAGTTGACTTATTTTACCTCCTGGTTTTCTCATTAGTTTGAATCGATCAATTATATCAATCCCAATTATTAGATAATGGGTTTGAGGTAAAATATAAAACTGATGTTCTTTTGTCATTTGACCAATTTTTGTTTTTAAGGTTGTCTTTCCCATTATTGATGTCCATGTTACTGCTTGTTTTAGTAATGTATCACAGGGTTCAGGATTCATATTTAAAACATCACAGATATCATAACTTATAAAAGAATGTGTTGAACCTGTATCAAATAGTCCTTCAAACTCTATATCATTCAATGAAATTTTAATCTGTTCTAATTTTGTTGGTTCACTGGTCATCATACTAGTAATAGGATTATTGTTATTATCTCTCGTATGACAAACGGATGTATTATGCCTACCATTACAAGTTCTGCAATTAAAAGAATGTATACATTCGTTTATCATATGAGCTGAAGAAAAACATCTTACGCATCTTTTTAGAGTATTCAAAATTCTGATCTTTTCTCCACTAGGTCTAGGACATTTATTATTTTTTTTTATATATATTAAAGAATATCTGATTTTATTTGATGCCTGATTATTATTATTATAATAATCGATTCATCCAAAAATGATGATGAAAATGAAAACAGGCTCTAATACTGATTGTTTGTGATATTAAATTATGAGAATATAAATACAAATGTGTGTGTGTTGTTTGTTTTTGTTTACAAAATACAATTTTTTTTTGTGTGTGTGTGGTGTGTGTGTTTGTGCGTGTACCCGGCCTAATTTAGTGTACATATATCATAAGAGTATTTATTTATTATTAAGAAAATATTCTCAAAAGTGTATAATAATGGAAAAAATGTATTTTTATGTGTGTGCATTTGGCATCTATACAATTGTTCCCAATGTGTAAACGTTTAATTGACTCTCGTTATTGAATAAATATTATTATATATATTAATAAAACGCCAGTAATCTGGTAATCATCATGAACACTAATAAAGTTTGGAACCAGGTAACCTATATAAAAATGTGACATAGAAAAATGTAAAAAAAAATTCTAGTCATAAACGTGTTTCGAGAATAAACTTACCAAATGATGATGATAGACCAATTGTTCTAGATGAATAGTATTCTTCATTCATAGGATCATTGGAAGAATCTGGGAACAGAGAAATGAAAATAAAAAGTCAATTAGTGAGAAATTTTTTGGTCAATGACACATGTTGGCTTTGTTTTTTTTCTTTTTAAATTTCAAATGTCATTTGCCAAGAATTTTTTTTTTGTTGTTTGATTCAAATTCATTTAGTCATATTTATGGAATGTGTTTTTTGTATATGAATCGCAAATAAGGAAAAGAATAAAAGCCACATATATGTACGGGCATTATTATCAAATGGTATTGGAATCGAATTCAAGAACAATGGCCCTTATCGAATCGAATCGAATTGAATTCAATTTAATTTAATTCATTTGGTCCATCATCATGCATTTGAATTGTTATTGTTCTTTCACTTTTTCATTCATTCATTGCATTTGTGTTCGATTTGGTTCATTCAATCTATCCAAGTATTCTATTATTTCTATTGTTGTTGTTATTGTGCCGCTGGTGGTGATGGTGGTGGTGGTGGTTCTGCAACCAACAAAACATCATTGTTTCTGTTTGTTGTATTGGTATTGCTGCTTTGGCTAATAAAAATTTACAATTTAGAAAATACAAAGACAATTCCAATGGTTTCATTCCAAACGACAACGACAACAACGACAATAATAATAATAAATACTATATATATAAATGGTGATGGCAATCTTTGTATACAAATATCAAAAAGTTTGTCGATTTTGATTCGATTCGAAAAAAAAAAAAAATAAATAAAATAACTACATAGAGAAAATAATAGGTCCCAAAAATAATCGATCGATGGTAAAGCAAAGTTTTTTTTTCTTTCTTTCTTTCTTTCTCTCTTTTTTTTCTTTTGTCTGATTTGTTGTGACTGTTGAAGATGAAAGAAAAAAAAAAGTGTCAACATTAATGTGGCAACCTGGATCCCTTTCCTCTAATAGACGAGTGAATGAACATGTCTAGGCCACATCAAGGTCAATGGTGTGTGTGTTTGTGTGTGTCTGTCTGTTTGAATGTTTGTTGTTTGTGTAAATTCGTTCGTTTTGAATGTACCATTCAAACCCAATATTCTGGCTGTAGATGGTTCCTTTTTTCTAGATATCGTAATCGGTCTGATAGTAGAATCGGATGATGTTGATGATGATGATGATGATAATGATGGTGTTCGATGAATTTCTGTAAATAAAATAAAACAATAGATGAATGAATGAATGAAAGTATGAAATATTCGATAATGTTTGAATACCATAGATTCGTATGGATCCTTGTGTTGAACCAAGACTATTTTTAGTATGACATCGGTATATGCCTGGAATATGCAAATGAATTTTTTAAAGTGGGGAATACAATGAAAAGTTTATTTTCAATCATTACATACCAAAATCATCAATAGTAATATGTTTGATAACCAATTTCATATGTACTTTATATGATTGTTCTTGATTGGCAATACGATATCGATCTGAATTGACAATCATAATTTCACCATGATCTGGTTCATCTCCTTTGGTTGATGATGATGATGATGATGATGATGATGAAGAACGATCTTCTTTAGTCCAATAATTCAATGATAATGGAAATGCTTCAGTATCACAACGTAATGTGACTTGATCATTGATGGTGGCTCCAAGCAATTGATTAGGCACCCAAATCATAGGTGGAACTATATATGTTATTATCATATAAATTCAAAAGAAGAATGAAAATTTTTTTCATTCAATATAATACACCATTCATTTATAAATAACAATTCATTATTGGTGACAAATTGTATTCCACACACTATATATATATAAATATATACAACAATTGAAATACACAATGAGTGATTACACATTCATTCATTTACAACATGAACAATAATAATAATAATAATAATGACGCCATTCCGTGAGCCACATAATTCACTGGATAGACAGTTTTTTTTTTCAAGATTAAGTATATAAAATGAAAAATTATCCTTGGCCACAGAGAACAAATGATCAACATAGAAAGAAAAGATTCTCGATTCATCATCATCATCATGTTGATGGAATATCAGAAAAAAAAAGAGAGAGAGAGAAAAAAGCTGCTTTGTTCTAGCGCTTATTTGCTGACTTGAGCTTGATGAGAATTGAATTGGTCGCCAAAAAAAAAAATCTCTCTCTCTCTCTCTATTCTATTGTACAATTTCGTTCACCGGGAACTGGGAAGGGGGCAGGAGTGGAGCAAACAATTGGTTCATTGTTCAGAACGAATCAGTAATCCTTGGGGATTACTTTGTTTCACACTGTAGTTTATATACCAGACACCTATGATGATGATGATGATGATGATGGTATCTGCGATCATCATCTTGACGATGGCGTCCATATATACTTATAATAGCCCAAACAAACTTATAGGAAACCACGCTGCTCTTTGGTTGTCGGCTGTTGGTTGAACACACACACACACACGGCAGGGAACAACTTACTGTTAGAATTGTCTAAAAATAAAATGAAAAAATCTTCTCTGTTTTCGATATGACCAGGCTCAACTAGCAGATAAATATATTGGAATAAGAATCGTGAGGATAATTCTGTCATTATGGGAATGAACAAGGTTGTTTTTTTTCTGCTGAACTTATAGAATTGGTTTTCTTTAACAGGAAATGCTAAACCATTTTTTTTTAATAGAGAGTATAATAATGCCACACACACACACAATGGATTATAACCGCAACCTTGAGACAAGAACCGTTTCATTGTATATACTTACAATTGACTTGAAGAACGATCCTTCTGGATACCGATGGAGGAACACCTAATTTCATATAATTTTGAAATGTTTGTCAGATGTCATATAGTGATTATTATATAAAAGATACAATGAAACTACTTACCATTCTGGGCAATGCAAAGATAGGCGCCCATATGAAGACGGCTTACTTTTTCTATGTGTATCACTTCGCCTTCGGTGGTATTAGCTTGTGTTTTTTTTCATTTATTTATTTATTTAATTCAAATTCAAAACATTTTTGAAATCAACAAAACGACATATGTGAAACATTTATCATAACTCACGATATTCGAATCCACTTTCTTTGTTCAATTGCCAATTGCCATATTCGATTGGCTTGTTATCTTCTCGTCGCCAAGTTAGCCTACATATTGGTTATTGGTTAGAATCAGAGTTGATAAAAAAAAATATGGATTATTAATTTTACTTACTTTGGTTCAGGATGGCCACGAGCTTTACAACGTAATGTAAGATTCTGATTCTCACGAACTATCACATCAGAAGATGTTTCCGAATTTATGAAATCTGGTGGAACTTTAAATACGAAATAATATAAAGGAATGCTATCAAGTTTCAAAGAATGTGTTTTATGCTTGTGTATGGGTTTTTTTGGTAATGTTTATGATCCATGTGGCATTGACGATACGGTTCATTCACTCGTTTTGATATCAGTGTGTTATATAAATGTTTACTTTGCAAAATAGATATAATACAAAAATATATAAATGATCCTCCACTTACCAGTTACATCAAGATATCCAATTTGGCTTTTCATTGGCATTGTATTGATTTGACACATATAACCTATATATATATGAATGAATGTATGGACAATTCAATGATAATTATTTTTCAATCTACTAAACACAATCATATTTATACCTCCACGATCAGATTCTTGTACATTTTTTATATGTAATGTCCAAATTTTATGTTCACTTTGGGTCAATGATATGCGGCTATTACGGGTGACAACTTGATGTTGTATAGTAAGAATGGATTTATCTTCATTACGAATCCAGCCGACCTTAAGTCAGTGAGAGAAAAAACAAGTAAAACATACTTTTATATTAAAAATAAATGCAAATGGAACTATTTTTCAATTGTTTCACTTAACAGCAGAATATGTGCTCATCATTCATATATATATGATGATGATGATGATGAGACAACACACACACACACAACAGCAAAATGCACTTAATTTGTCAGGCACAAATAACCCGTTCTAATTTTTCGTTTCACTACATTCAATTTTTGAAACACGATTCAATGAAGCCTGCTGCCACATATACGATGTATGAAACAAAATTCGTTATGCAAATCGGTATACGAATGACAACATTTGGTACCCACACACACACACACACTTACCATCATCATCATCGATTGTCAACGAGTCAAAATGAAAAAAAAATCAGTTTTTCCCTAGATTCTGCTACCAGTTTCTAACAATAAGCCAAACCCGATGAGACAGGTACAGTCAGATCTCTAGAGAATATAGCCAAATTTACACACACACACACACACAAATGAATCGCGCGAATGGCCATCGTAATCAGTGAAAGTAGTTGTGTGTGTGTGTGTGTGTAAAAAGAGAAAGAATCAATTTTGCAATGGCTGTTTCCTTTATTAAAAATGATCCAGTCAGTAAATATTTGCCGATGACAACAGAGGCAAGGATCTCTATATCTTTAAGGAAAAATACGATAATCATTGATGATGATGGCCAACAAATGATGATTGGTCACCATTGGTTTTTTTTCCTACCACATATGTGGTTCATAGTAAAATCGATGAATGCTAATGACAAGGCTGTGTGTGTGTGTGTGTGTGTGTGTATTTTATTGTCTTGTTTGTCTAACCTAGTTTTTCAATCGAAATCAATAGGGAGTCGCCCATATATAGAGAATCAACAAACAAATACCAAAGTTTTTGTTGTTGTTGTTGTTGTTGTGTGTGTGTGTATGGTGAATGTTTATAATGTACCGTTATGTTTTATATGTGATATCCTGACAAGCGATTGGTAAAAGGCCCCAGGTGAATGAATAATGGCACAACAACAATAACCAACAATAAAAAACAAGGAACACGCGACAAGCAAACACGGTCTCCCAAAAATAAAAAAAAAAAAATAGCTGATGCAGCGGTAGAAAACGGCGGCCGTGGACAATTGTTGTAGACATTTCTCACCGAATACAAGATTCTCATTATGATGAACGATGACATGTTTCATCTCTATAGTTAACATGCCATCTTTGTCCTTATGTATCACCACACACACATACATAGAAATTTTGTTTCTTTACAATAGCAATGAAAACTATTAGTTTAGTCTGAGATTGATGATGGCTCCAAGCCTTATAGTTATTACATATAATATATCGTTAATATGAATCCAACTGCCTGGTGAATGTGTATGTTTTTTTTTCTTAAACACCTGGCCCAAAAAAACAACAACAACAACAACAACAACTATTGTTCACAAAATGATGATAACTTACTCGATATGTATCCAAATTGTTGACGATGCAAGGAAATTTAGCATCACGACCAACTGATACGGTCAGATTTGGTATCATACCAACAAATTCTGGTTCATCTGTCTGATGTAAAGTATAACGTTTTCTTTTGATAGCCATCCAATCTGGTAATGTTACCCATTCTGTCGTATAGAAAGAAATAAAAAGAAAGGAAAGGAAATGAATGATAATATATTGAATATAAATTGAATTCGAACCGATTATCCTTGAATGGCCATGATAGCTATTGGTAAGATTTGCATTAGAAAACCATTACTGGCAATCAATGATGGTTCCATCATCCAAAAATTGAAGAGAACCAGTATTACTTGGGCTATCATAGCCAGACAATAATAATAAGGATATGCTCCAATTGTTGGGCGGCAATCGACTTCGATTCAAAGATAAGTGGGAGGATGTAAAGATTTAAATGAAGAACTAGGCAGGTGTATGTATACTTGGTTTGTTGGCACTAGCTACCATTCGTCAAAGTTCTCTATTCAGACCAATTCTTCATCGTAATACGATCAGAATCCAGAATAACAATGAAAAAGGCATTTACAATGGCATTTGTTGATGATTATTAATTGTGACTGTCATTTGAATGGCTGGCATCCAACATTGTCCAATGAATCGACAATTCGATTCAATAACAGATTCAATAATAATAGAAACGGATGTAATGATTAATAGACAAATGCAATGACAACAGCAGCAACAACATTGTTTGTGTCTGTGCTTGTGTGTCTCACTAGGGAATTATATAAGAATGATGATGATGATGATGAAGCCGCTTACAGAATCGAATTTTCTTTTTTTCGTTCGTTCGTCGATTCATAGTCAATCACAAGTCAAATCAACAATCAGACATTTTCGATTGTGTACGATTATCGAAAAATGGCACTCATCATGGCCTTTTTTTCTCTGTAAAACAACCTGACCATAGAAAAAAATATCATGCATCTATATTCATGACCGATAGATATTCAGCGCTGATATGAATCGATCTAAATAAACGATATATATGTCTTATATATATGGATATAGCAAACAGTATTTGAAAAAAGGGATAAACAAGCAACAAAACAACATGACCCTCTGGACTATAGTATAGTATAGTACTATTAGGTCCCAAGTGGATCGAATTGAATTGATTTTTTTTTTCCTTCAAAATTGGTCCGGCCGTCAAGTTGTTAACGATAATCTGATTGCAACGATATGGTTGATGGCCACTGTCTGGTTGTACATAACCATTCGATCATTGAGTTAAATATGATTCTGATGTATTGGGCAACATGCACAATTGTCTTTCTGATGTCAGCATGTTTTCCACTGAATTGCCTTCAAAAAAAAAAAAAAAAAAAAAACATAAACAACTAATACAACACACATTCGTATTAAAAGATGGATTCTAGCCTATCAAGCGTAATCGACACTTTATTCGCCTGATTAGATTGCATAGATTCGATGATGTTAAAACAAAACAAAAAAAAAAAAAAAAAAAATGCAAATCATCATCAGTTAAGCGAACAAATGAATGAATGAAAGAGAAAGAATCAAGCAAACACTAGCATGAACCTGGCCCATAAGTAAACATGGCCCTAAAAACAGTATCCAATAGATTTTTGATTTGGCTTGCCACACTGCAAAAAAAAAATTGGTGTTTGAAGCAAAGATGCAACGCGTATAAGGCTATCAATGATGTAAGAAAAAAAAGCATATAGTCAATCATCCATGGATCCTATACACATGGATGATGCACACATTTATTCACACACACACACACAAACACAAACTTCAAAACAACAATAGATGACGAAAAAAAATTTTTTCATTAAAAACATAGTTCTATTACAATTCATTTTCTAGTCCATGTCATGTGTGTGTGTGTGAGAAAGAAAGGTGGGGGGGAAGTTGAGTCATTTTCTAAAAGAATCCATTCTCTCTCTACACTCCATTAGGCCATTGTTTTCTTGCTTGCTTTTATTTTTATTTTTTTTTTTTGGTGAATTCAATTTTTGGCATTACTTTGGCTAACAAAATCTACACACACACACGAAACAACACCATAAATTGATAAAGATCAAAAAGGCGAAATTTTTTTTTTTTGTTTGGACCGAAAATTAATCGAAAAAAAAATTTTCGATCTTTTATTCACTCACTTGCACACACACACACACACACACACTTGCTTTTTTTCCGTGTGAAATGAGAAATGAATTCTGAATGGAACCAATGATGGAAAGAAATGAAGAAGAATTTAATAACTTGAATCAAAGAGAATATAATTGCTATTGCTTGCGTGTGTTTGTGTGTGGAGGGGTGGGTGGGTTTATATCATCATATTATATTATTATTTACTTTATGGCTCGTGTGTGGCCCCAATCATCATTGGTGGTGGTGGTGGTGAAGGCATCTTTTTTTTTGCTGGATATTGAATTTGACAATTCCTATCCAATTGAAATGAATGTATATTATATCATGATTAATCCAAGCAAGCGAACAGATAATAATCTTACCAAAGCATCTAAATATCCGACCATTTGACTACAGTGGACAGTGTCATTTTTCGATCGTTCAGTTCAGATAAACAGATCGTTTTTTTTTTCATTGCGGCACCCAACTGTCATTGTCAACAGCTAAAGCCAATACGTTTTCATAGACACGTGCAAACACACATGCACACACACGTTGCACGTGAATGATTGGACGAATCGATTGTGATCAAATGCATCAAAGAAGAAAAATCGGGAACCTCAATAACAAATTTTTGAGTAGAATTTATAACAGAAAAACAGCAGCAATTACCACCACTAAATGACAGATGATTAAAATGAATAAACTATATAAATGTCCAGTTATCAACAATAATAAAAACGACACGTGTTTGTTCACATATATAACAATTTGGACATTGAGAATGTGGGTCATACTTGAAAACAATTTTGAATGAAATGATATACGAGATGCTAAAAAAAACCGTGAACAGATTTTTCAGCTAGATTGCTGCCATTTTAATGCCATATATCTGACCAGCGCTATTTTTTTTATTTTTTTTTTTTTTTTTTGATTCATGCATAATATTCAACCATCCGGTTGCATATGCATAATTTAGATTAATTATCTAATTATCTCATTCCAACCAAGTGATGATGACAGCTTTTTCGGTAGTTATGTAGAATATTATTCTATTATTGCGATAACAACTGATGACCACTACGGTAGCCACAAATGCATGGATCTATTTAAAAGTTTTTTTCTTTGCAAATGAATTCGTTGAATTCGGAGAAAAAAAAATCCATCTAAATGACATTTTAATGAGTTTGGTCAATTTATCCAAATTCATTTGGTGATGATTAGGAGGAAAAAAAATTCCTAATGATAAAACGGTAAATTCAGTTTGTCTGTCTGTCTGTCTTGATTGTCTGTTTCTCAGAATTCTATTTTCAGTGTTATCAATTCACCGACACAACAACAACGTCAAACGTGAAATGGAATGAAACCTAAAAAAAAGGCTGACGAGCATGACAATGGGTCTGAACAAAAAAAAAAAAATGTTTCATCAACTCAAATCATCGTCATCATCATCTATTTGGCCTTTACCAGAATACGGCACAAGAAAAACCTGGTTATTCTCTGCTATCTTTTCGGCCAAACGGAAAAAGTTTGCCGAATAGTGAAGTGAATCCAATCACACACACACACACACACACACACATACAAATCATGTACGGCAAAATGGTTTTTTTGTTTTGTTTTGTTTGTTAGCTTGTGCATCCTTTTCTAACAACTTTTGATGATTGTACGACGGCAATCATATCCGGATGGCATCAACACATGTGGCAACAATAATAATAATAACAGCAACAACACAATCGGTTATAGGCAATTAGTCAAACCGGTCTCTATTTCTTGGTTCCAATAACATCCATATAACAACAAATAATTGGACAGTTTCGTTCATTAATTTAACACAACAATGATTACCCCTTGATGATGATATTGAATGAATGATTATATAACCCCTTTTTGATTACAAAGTATTAGAATACGATGTGCAAAAAAAATGGGATTCACTATAGTGGATAGCATTATAATATAAACTGAAACTAAATCTGTATGAAATGATTTTTGATTGTAGCCATTTTTTTTGTGGGGGGTGCATGTCAAAATCAAATGAAAATGAATGATCATTTAAGTATACCTTAACTACAACAACAACAAATAATAATAATGATGATGATGATGATGAACATCACACAATCGATAACTATTAAAATTTATGATTATTATGATGATGATGATGATGATACCCCATTATTATTAGATTGGAAACAAAAAAAAACATTTGAAAGCTCGTAAAAGCCATTATTGCATTAAATATCAAAACGAACAATTTATACCTGATTTATGAATGTGAAAATGGGTAGTGGGTACTTTTTTTCAAGGTAAATGTTTAGTGTACTTGGTTGGTTGGTTGGTTGGTTGTCAACTAATTTTTCCGTACAATGTATAATGATGATGAAAATTAATTAGATGTGTCAAACAAAGATGATACAAGATTTGATTTTTTTTTTTGGTTGCTTATGCTTCAATTTTGATTTGCGACACACACACACACACACACAGAGAGAGTGCTAGTGACATATATTATTGAGTTTTGGGTGAAAAAAAAATCAGAAAAAAAAGCCCGGTAACCATCTTTTTCATCATTGCTTTGTTCAATGGTATGGATTGTCATTATTGCCGAACAAAGAGCTAGCTAGCTAGCTAGCTTCAGTGAACAAATCAAATCAAACCAAAACTAAATCTGGTTTTTTTTATTATTATTATTGAAATGTTGCCATAATGATCAATGAGAATGAAGAATGGATTGACAACAAGACGAAGAATAATGGCTACCATCAATGTATAGAATGTGGTTCATTCGATTCAATTATTATTACCAAAAAAAAAAATGAAAAAAAAATATTTTCATTCTTCGATCCAACAACAACAAACTTGTCATTGTGGTCGTTCGTAGGCGGCAGGCATCAATGAAGTTTTCATTTTCTGGTTCCACTGTCGTCAGGTTGCAATGCCACTCATAACTTTTTTTTTTCTTCTCATAGCGATCAAAAAAAAAAAAAAAATCAAAAATAAA